ACGGTAGTAGCATGCTGCTGGTGCCACATAAAGAGGAGGCTTCACATCCAAAACCACATCAAGGTTTGTGTTAAAACTCCCACCCAATTAGTCCCTAAAATTCATGAAAGAAGTTTCCTGTTCAAAATTAACATGGCTTTTGTAGACCCCAGTGGTCACAGCCAAGAGCAGAGGGATTAATTTGGCCACGGGCTGTATAAATATATTTGCGATTACACCAATATAAAATCTAAGCAGACACACCACTCCTGATGGAGAGATGAGCAACTGAACACAAAGATGCAAAGAATGACCTGGGCATACAAAGTAAATTGGTGACACAGAGCTCCCATGAATCCTGTTAAAGACTCTGCTAAAAAGAAAGACAACGGGTGATCCCAAGAGCTTGTCTGAAACCTCAGAACAAACACTGCTCCCACTGTATAACATCAGACCCAGAAGCAGAACATATTTATCTTTTATACAGCTATCAAACTGGCCATAGAAACAGGTTCCCACCTGTAGTTTTCAAGAGAACCTATCAGGATGTCAAGAGGCAGACATGAGATCAGTATCTCTTTAGGGCCTTATTTTCATGTTACAGTTCTAGCTCCTCCAAAGGAAACAGCAAGACACCTACAATGTAAAGGGACTGGGATTTGTCCTGAGATAAACACAAAAGCAGCGCAATTAGTGTCCTCCTGTGATAGAATATCTAGAAGAAAACTCCAGAATGATAAGAAGTTTTCTTCTATTTATTTTATTTACCATGATACTCTCACCCTCAATGACATAGTATAGCAGCGAGTTCTATAACTATATCCCATGCTACATAAGAACAGCACTTTTTTATTTGTCTTTTCACTTCGGGATGTGATTACTCATTCCCATATCTGAAAATATGGGAACTGCAATCTAGAGTACTCCATGCTGAAGAAAGATGAGATCTAACTGCTAGAGGTGTGTTGTTTCTCAGATGATCAGGAAAACAGAAAAATGATTACAAAACCAGATAAAATCAGCATAGATTTTGCTTATAAGCACATTGAGATGGCAAGCACACAGGATGAAAAAGAACCACATAAGCTAAAATCAAAAAAAAAAAAAAAAAAAAAAGCAGAAGAGATTAAACTCCACGAATAAATTTAGCTAGGAAGTTAGAATAACACTTCAAATTGTCTAGAAGTAAGAAGTAGTACCAGTGTCATAAAAGAACAATTAGGAGGGTTGTCATTAAAATTTTTTATGAACTGACTGCCTAACAAAACCAGGATATGGGACAAGATGACTCACAAGCCCCTTCAACTCCTAGGCTATCACAAGTTGTTTTCCAGGGTTTAGCTAACAGATCTCTCTCTCTGAAGCAGGGATCTTTGGTCCCTTTTAAAACAGCAGTTAGACAACCAGGCTGAGCTGTTAACAGAACACGGGTGGTAACAGATGGGTGAGCACTTGTGCACACAACACATGGCACACAAACACCACTTACATTATTCAAGCACATTGCTTACATACTTCACCTGTAAGGATATTCTTATACATAAGAAGCATGCTACCTATGTATAAAAGTTAACGTTTTCAGATAAATCTGAAGCATGGCCACAAATTTACAGAATTCCGTTTATACAAGAAAATGTGATGCAAGGTAATGTGATTTTCCACTTTAAAATTAAGCATGTCCAATAAAGAACATCCTTTCAAAATCCTAGTGTCTGCATAGGGTGATAATGAGTTCCTTGCAATGCTGTTATCCAGAGGATAAGTGTGGAAGATGACTGCAAATTGGGAGGCGTATAAGCTTCTCAGGACCTTAAGCACTGTAGAACACTTTCTAAAAGTCCACAAATACTGTCAAAGCCATTCAAGATTAACTAAAAGTAAGAGATACTCATTTGGCATTTTGTTATTTAATTTGAGCACACACAGCACCACATGCATATAAATCCATCAAATAATATTCATTACTCAAATTAACTTTCTATATCATCACAATGTTACCCTTTTCCATATTGCTGCTAAAACATAACTTATTTCTTTCAAGGGGTTAACAAAAAATAGCAAGTGACCCTTTTCAAATCACAGCAAACTAAACGCTACTAATACCAAATTCACTTCTGGGGATCTGTCAGAGATAAATCTCATCCAGCACGCGTGCACCAGAAAAACACAAAAATGCAGTCACAAATATCTAAATGTACTGTATGCCTTCATTTCAAACCACAAGAAAGCGCTGAAGCCACCAAAAGAATCATGTCTGTGTAGTATAGACTCCATCACTGACTCACCACCCTCACTGTGAGAAACCGCAGGCAAATCCAGAAGGGTCTGTTACAGTTTTTTGTTTGTCTGTTGAATTTGTTTGCTTCCAAAAACTCTTGAAATGCCACAGTGCTATACTGCATAGAAACAGAAGAGATGGAGCTCAATAGGCTGCGGCTCAATTTGACAAAGTGTGTTTTACACCTGTGGACTTCATTTGCTGTATTTACTGCCAGCTGACAACAATTTCCAAACTAGTCACTCATCTGAGAGAGTGATAGAAAAGCTAAACATTAGCTTAAAATATACCAGGAAGAAATAAAAGATTTACCAATGTTCTTCTCTAAAACGTTGGTGAATTACACAGCAGACTTGAGTAATTTTTGTCATCCATCTGAGAAACAGGTCAATGTCAGCTGGAATATTCTCTGAGATGGGTCCCTGTGGTGTATATATTATGGGCAGATTGTAAAAGAGCATGCCTTATTTGACTTAAAAAGCAAGGGAAAAGACAGTACGTGACAGCACTCTGCAAAGACATCAAAGATAAACACTACTGAGGAACAAGAACTGTCTAAAATCAAGCAAGATATTGGCACTAGGACAAAAGGGATTATACCTGCTATGAATACATTCAGTCTGGAAACTAGGAAGTGCCTAGCCATCAGAGCTCGGAGAGCCTCTCAGCGGGAATGACACAAGGAAAATAACCTAATTAGTTTTAAGAGGGAGATTGAAAAAATATGAAAGTAAACAGCAGGGGATTAGGTTTGGGAAGTGCCTTTTAGACCTGTGTTTGTGGAGGACAACTAATCACAGAAAGAATCAGGACCTGTATCTGAACAAATTTCCATTGAAAAGCATTCTTGCAAATTAGTCTCATCAGGCTTAACTAATCACACCTTTAGTTCACAAACACCATCAGAAATTCATGCAAATGCCAGACCTGTATGTACCCCAGTATAGGACCAATACCAGGGCATATTATATGAACTTTTTTTTTTTTTTTTGCCACCAATACGCTTGCTATTCCTAAGAGGGATGAGAAGCACAATAGCAGTATTATGACAGAATAAATGAAGAGGCTTTTGCGAGAGTCATCTGTGCAGGTGATAGCATGAAAAGTAAGACTGACTGAGGTAAATCCAGAAAAAAAAAATATTTACAAATAGTTCAAGAAAACTTTTATACATTTGTAAGCCATCACTTCTGGAAGCCAGTTCACAATGGTCCAAACACAATTTTAGAGCCATTTCTACATAGAAATTTGTTAAATTAGAAAAATCCAAGGAGGATTAGCTTCATTATTATCATTTAAACAAAAATAACAATAACATTTAACGAAAATTAAATTTAATTAAAACATTGATAAATGTATCTACACAGAATCCAACAGTAATACTAGAGTATTCACAAATGTCAACATCCCTGAACTTTCACTCCAACTGAAGTGCCAGATTAACTACAACAAGCAGTAAGAGCTCAGAGACCAGCTGCCTCAGATAAACAGGAAACGAATTAGCAGGTGATTGTTACTTGGTTTTGTTTTACACAATACATTGATGTATAATTGCTAGTGTGACTTGAAGCTTTTCTATCATCATGTGTAACATCCCTACCCCCCTTTGCAAAATTATCTCTTTCTCTCTTACACCAACTGCATTTGGCCTTCCCTTGACAGAATATCACTCAAAAGTTATCTCCCCAAACCTATGAGGCAGCTGGGCTCTGATATGGTGGCCTGTTACCATGTACCATCCTTCATTGTCGGGCATGGAAACCATGATGCAGGGAGTCGAAATGAATTAGTTGAGCTTAGAAAGCAAAGCCAACAGTAAAAACCAACACAGACGCCAGCTTTGTAGATGCAACAATGGGGTGACCACAGGTTTTGTTCATACTTGTTTTTCACTCAGTGTGTCCGCACTCCTCCTACACTTCTCAGAGGCAAATAGCGTGCCAGAACATACACGGTTCAGCCAAGAGGAAGCACAGAGCCACCAGCATTGTGCCAGGCAAAGGGCCACCTAGTAGCAGCTGTGGGCCAGCACAGAATGAATCATAAAATCATAGAATGGGTCGGGTTGGAAGCGACCTCAAAGATCACCCAGTTTCAACCCACTTGCCGCATGCAGGGACACCACCCACTAGAACAGGTTGCTCAGGGCTTCACCCAACCTGGCCTTGAATGCTTCTAGGGATGGGGCATCCACAACCTCTCTGGGCAACCTGTTCCAGTGCCTCACCACCCTCTGAGTGAAGAATTTCCTCCTAGCCTCTAATCTAAATTTCCCCTCTTTAGGTTTAAAACCATTCCCCCTCATCCCATCATTATCTGACTGAGCAGCAATCCACCCGCCCAGCTGCACAAGGCAGGAAGGAAGCTTTCCCTGCACCTGCAGGCGTGCTTTTAGACACTTAGTGAGGAACAAAATGTGAAATGACATTGCAGGGGAACTTCTGGACCGGATGACGTGGAGGTCCTTTGCGACCTTAATAACTATGACTGGGGGGCACTACAAGAAGCAGCCTTGAGCAGGGGGCACCTGTGGTACCCACAGGGCTGAGCAGCGCTGCCTGCAGACCCCGGGGGAGGCCCAGAAGCAGGAACCCCCCGGGGCTGCCCCGGCTGAGGCGATGCCCCCTGAAGCCACCATCACCCCCCCCCCCCCCCCAGCAGACGCTGGCTGATGACGTCACCGGGCCCGCTCGCCTCTCCCAATGGCGGGCCCGGCGCTCCCGCTGCCTGAGGCAGCCCCAAGATGGCGGCTGCCTCGGCCGGCCCGGGGCTGGAGCTGCAGCTCCCGGAGGGGCTCCCGGGGCCGGGCGGGTCCCGCACGGCCTCGGCGCCTCACGCAGCGCTGTTGCGGGCCCCGCCGTCCCCTCCAGCCCGCCCGAGGCTGCCCTGCCCGCCGCCTCGCCCATCCTGCGGCCTCTGGGGGCTTTGCCCGCCTGCCCCCAGCGTGGTACTGCCCCCGGTGTGAGGGAGCAGCCCAGAGGCCCCCTGAAGCAGCCCAGTGAGGGGAATAAAAACGAGCCAAGCACAGCAGTACGGGGCCCTGATGCCCACTGGGAGCATTTTGTTGAGCTTGTGGTCCTGGCGAGCCCCCCAGCCATGCTGGCACCTAAAGAGTGTGGGTTTCTTGCAGCAGTTAGGGGACACAGTGCACAGAGCTGGGGTTTAGGAAAGCTGACATCGCTTGGTGACCCAGGGCTGGGTGTGGTGTGGCTCTGGAGCACCAGTCCTTTATAAAATGCCTCTCTTGGAAGAAAACATAATTGAGGCGGGTGATGGCAACGATTTAATTTGGCATAGCTGCCAGTTTACCTTGGGCTGCAACCTAGGAAAGTATGCCAGTAAGAAAAGAATATAAGATAAGTGGCCCTCTTGGTGGTTATTGTCCCTGAGCCTTGCTAAATGGGGAAAAGCACTGAGCATCCTTCAGGGGGGAAATGAAGGACTGTCCCATATGCCAGCCTGGCCTGCCTTTGGCCCTGCCTCACCCTCAGCTGGCTGCAGCTTGTGTCCTCAGGCAGGTCGGGTCACCTCCCCGAACAGCCCTCACCATGGCAGGAGGCAGGATCCTGACCCAACAACTGCTCTGCTGTTAGCCTTGTTCACACCATCCCCTATGCTATTCAAAGACAGACCCTCACTGAAGAGGTTTTTGGTTTTAATTTTTTTTTTTTTTTTTTTTTTTTTTGTGAAGAAACAAAGTCTATCTCTGAACTTTAATTGCCATGGAACTGCTCTGAGTTAGAGGTGACTATGCAGACAATCTTTCTTTTACACATCTGCATATGGCTTTTGCAACATTACCCTGTATGATAGTAAATCTTATACCATTGACACTGCATTTTTATCCTGAGATCTTCTCCTGGAAGCCTGGGGCTTGACAGCAATCTAAGTCCCAATAAAGTGAGACTTTCGCAGATTGCACTGCTCTGAAATCTGCACTTTCTTTCTCATTAGAACTGTCCTCAGACCTGCTCTGGATCATGTTTGCTTTTACACACCCCCAGGAAATTGTGGAAAACTCACTCCCTCAGACAGGCATGTTGGACAAACTTGCTTCCTCCTGCTGGATTTTACAGCTGCAAACAAGGCTTCAAAACAAAACAAAACAAAACAAAACAAAACAAACTTACTAGCAACACCAACAGCCCTGCTCTGAACATGTGGGATGCTTCCCTGGATCCCTGCTCATTTCCTGTAGTGAAACACAGACACACCAGCTCGGTGCTGTCCTGAAGTGTGTGGAGGCTTTTTTTTTTCTCTCTCTCCTTCTTTTCTTTTCCCTCCTTCCTTGTGTTGATTTGTGGGGCCAGAATGACTTTGATTTCAGCAAGTTTGCTGTTTATTCACGTCACAAGTTTGACAGCTTTACACCAAATCAGATTGCTGGGTTTCAGGAGAGCTCTGAGGCGTCACTGGGAGCTCCTTTAGATTAAACTCGCCTCCCCGGTCTCCCCCCTCTCCCCCTCCTTCAGAGCCATTTAAACCTCGCTGGGGCTTTAACAGAAACCTGCTCCCAAGACCTGCGTTTCATTCTGCCTCTAACATGGTAAGTGCTCTTTGCATTTCTCTCGACCTGGAGGCAGAAAAGGAGCAGCTGGTCTCTTTGCCTTGGGGCTTTGCAGGAGGTTTCGTGCCCTCTAAGATGGGGAAGGAAGAGGGCTCTCCTCTACCTGCAGGAGCAGTCCCTGCTGCTCTGCCTTCCCAGGGATGGGCAGATTCCCCTCTCGAGGCTCCAGGCTCTGCCGTTGCTTTGCAGAGATTCAGATCGTGCTTATTTGGAGGAGGGAAAAGGGGTGACTCCAGAGACAACCCCCAGGCTTTGCTACTGTGCAGCCTGGGACTCCTGCAGAACGGCAGGGGCAGAAAAGAGAGCAAGCAGCCTGGAGGTGACTCCGCTAGCTTTGTGCAGCTGTAGACCTGAATCAAGCCCTCGAGGTGGGACAGACGAACCGGCCGAGGACAACCTGGCTCCTCTCTCCATCTGAAACCCGCTCGGGACCGTAGCATTTCCCAAGGCACCGCAGCAAACTCAGCCCAATCCCTGGCACACCTCTGCTCGGAGCCCCTCTGCCACGGGGGGCTGCGGCGGGGGCGGCACCGCCGGGTGCCCAGCGGCTGAGAGCGGGGCGCTGCGGTGCCACCGGGCTGGGGGGGGGGGACATGAGGAGGGACCGGGTCCCCGAGCGGGCACCCGGGGCGGGGCTGGGAGCTGCGGGGGGGGGCAGCGGTGTCCTGAGCCAGGCACCTGAGCGAGCCCCAGCTGGGACAGAGGGGAAGGAATTATTAAGGGAAGGGGGTAAAGGGAGAGGGTAAGGGGGGAAAAAAGCTCTTCCCCGCCGAGGAGGGACCCTCCCGGAGCGCTGGGATGCTCCTCACCGGGATGCGCCCCGCTGAGGGTCCAGAGGAGGGCTGACACCGCCTCCCCCCCGGGGCTTTCCGCAGCCGGAGGGGCAGGAAGAGAGGAGAGGGGGGACCCAGCCGCCTCCCCTCCCATCCCCACGACCCCTTTTCCTTCCGCAGAGCGGCGGCCGGCCGTGCCCGCAGCCGGACTTCAGCGGGGGGCCGGGCTGCTCCTGTCCCTGGCCGGCCCCCGGTGGGGTTTCCAGGGAGAGCCGGGCCGCCGGCTGCGCCGCGGAGCCGCCGCTGCACGGCCAGGGCCGGCGGGAGGCTCGGCAGCCCGGTAAGTGGGGGGCGAGGGGGGCCCGGTCCCGGCAGGGAGAGAGCGGTCGGAGCGGGCTAACCCCGCGCTGCTGTCGCCCAGGCCGGCTGTGCACCCCCGAGCTCGGTGGGCAGGACGAGGTGTGGCGGGGAGACCAGCTGTCCTCCCAGCTCTACAGGAACAAGCAGGTAAGGGTGTCCCCCCCCTCGGCAGCCCGCACTTCGCTGCGCATCTTCTGGGGGTGGGGAGAGGGGCTGACCCCCTTCTGGGGGTTCTCCGGTCCTTGCTTGAAGTGTTTGTCTTCCCCATGTTGTCCCACGAAGATGGAACAACTGTTGGGAGGTTCTCTGCTCACCTTCCCCCCTCTTACAGCACATTGCACAGGGGAAGTCCGGGGACTTCAGGCTCTGATGTTTCAGAGCCTCATGCTGTTAACTGAAATTACACTATGTCTGTCCTAATCCATCAGGATTACCTTCATGAGAAACGATTCCACCAGAATTACCTACTCATATATACGGAGGATCAACCATTTTGACCAACAAGCATTGCCTTGTAATTTTCTCTCCTTTCCTTTTTTCCTTTTTTTTTTTTTTTTTTTTTTGTGAATTGCATCAAGCAACAGGACAAATTCTGAACAATCCTAGATGAAGGAAATCCAGAGAGATCATTCTGAAGAAACACCGGGAGTGATATCTTGACACATTAAAGTCAATGGAACCTCATTTACTAAGTTTAAGGTCCCTGGAATCAAATCCTCGTTCCAGACATCAGTGTATTTTGTTCTTTGGCTCAACCTTAATCATTTAAATCAGTGTTTTTTGGGTGCAAGAGATCCTGCCAATGACAAGTGCATCTTTCTTCTGTTCCTATCCCCATAAATTGTTAGCCTCCAGCTTCTTTCTCCTTTTCTCCATCAGCCAACTATACACTGGAATGAGAGGGATGTAAAAGGATGCTTACTGCCACTGTGGAGGAGAGCTGGTAGCTGCTGTCATGCCTGTGACAGTTTCTGGCTGTTCATGGGACTACCTGTAATTCTTTTCTATTATTATTCCACAGTTACAGGTGGTTAGGTGGTTTTGTTTTGTTTTCTCTCTCTCTCTCTGGAGTAATCTTTTCAAACACTTAGTGAAGAATAAAAGTCAAAAATGAAAGCTGAACAATCTTGCCAATTAGATACACAGAAGCAAGAGGCTTGAGGGGATGGGTTGCATTCACAAAGCAAACACCCAGTTCATCAAATCCAAGCAGCCTGTACCATAGGGCAAGTGCTATTAAGTTACAGAGTCAACACCTATTCAGCAGTATCTCTATTCCACAGCTTCAAGATACTTTGCTTCAGAAGGAAGAGGAACTTGCTAGGTTACATGAAGAAAATAATAACCTCCGACAATACCTGAATTCTGCCCTGATTAAATGCTTAGAAGAAAAAGCCAAGGTATTGTACTCAAACCTGTTGTATAAATGCGTGCAGAAGAAACACGTTGAATAGATACATGCCATTAAAATACGTGGAAGGTCTAAGAGTGCAGACAACCTGCAGCTGAGATCTGCTATTTAAGCTCACAGAGCTGTGAAATTGTTGCTCGTGGGTCTAAGGTGATGGTTTCCTTCAGGAGTAACATCCTATCAGGTTCTGACTGTGAAAACATTGTAGCCCATAGCATGATTAAATTTAGGTTATAAGTAGAGCAAGGTAAAATTATTTGGTCTAAAACTTTTTTTTTTTCAGTGAGAAGTTCAGATTTGATCGTATTAAAATATTTATTAAAATTGTTTGTTTTGTCACTTACTCCTTTGGATAAGGATTAGATTTTCCATTTTGTATGCCTTGGATGATTTCTTTTTTGTTTTGTTTTTGTTACCTTGCCATGGTACATTTTATTCATTTACATTAGAACACTGATCTTCTCATTTTTTTCCAATTTATTAATTAGTATTATGTATTAGTATTATAATTAGCATGTTAAAAATCTTAATATTTACTTTTTTGATATTTTAATTCTCTCCCAAAAGAAAATTAAAATATATATTTCTCATCAACCTGAAGATTTAAAAAAAAAAAAAAGTATTTCAGACTTTCCCATGAAAACAAGCGATTATTTCACACACACACACACAGAATTTCTAGGTTGGAAGAGACCTCAAGATCATCGAGTCCAACATTTGCTCAGCTCTTTGGATTGGGCATGCAGTAAAAAGGCTTACAAAAAAAATAGGGGCCTTTCCTTTTACGTCCTATTCCCAGCTGATGATGTGGCACATCCACCCCTCAGCCATGCCAAGACCTGGCTCCTGGTAGTAGAAGAGGTCTCCTTCATTGGGCCTTGCAGGGAGACACGGCCACCCCTCGATGCTATGTGGAGGAAAGTCCAGTGTGACACTGTCATGGGAGGTGGCCAAGCAGCAAGTCCATGACATGGTGGGGACCTTCCTTGTTATTCCTGCCTTTCTTTGACCATCCCCAGGGGCCTGAAGGGCCTTCTTCCCAGCAGCTGAGGTGGATGAAAGAGCTCAGGGTTGTGGAGGCTGCAGCTCCAAGTGCTCCCTGGCTGCAAATGCACCTGCCCCAGCATGACTTACCTCAGCATCCTCCCTCTTTGTCAGACTGCCACGTTCCCCCCCAATACCCCACTCACCTGCCAAATGCTGCTGGCAGCACCAGCACGGAGAAGTGCAGCACAGCCAGACGGGAGCTCTCATTTCACGCCTTACTGAGTGAGAATGCAATCAAAGCACAGGCCTTATTGACATTGTCAAATTCTTCTCTTTCAGGGACTCGGTTGTTTCAGAGGCTGTAAGGACAAAATAATTAGTCATATTCCATATGTTTAAGGAGTCCAAAAAGAGCACAGGGTGGAAATAAAAATATTTTTATAAGGACAGTAGTAATTGCTTTGCCCACCTAAAATCTGATATCAGAAATATGTTACTTACTGGTAACTAAATAACTGACCTTTAATTAATCTTCTCTCTCTCTCTTTTTTTTTTTTTGTTTTAAATTTAATAGAAAGTGCTATCCTGCCATGGCCAAAAAAACTCTGCTATTCTCAAAAGCACCAAAAGGAGATTAAAAGAGGACTACTGCTTTACTCCTCAAGAAACTCCTCATGCTTCCAAAGCCAGAAGGAACCTCTTTAATGAATTCACTGCCTGTGAAGAGCAAGCCAGTCCTGCTGTGGACAGCTGGGTCTTGCAGACCTTAGGACTGAAAGATGTCGACACCATCGATGAATCTTCAGCTAACTACAGTGCCCTCTCCTCAGACCTTGGAAAAGATTCATACTGCCTGAGCCCTGATGAAGCAATAGACTATGGCCACAGCGAAGGAGCAGCAGCAGCATATAGCTACAGCCACGTGCCTCCAGATAACAGCAGCGTCCACCCATGCAGCACGGACTCTACCTTCCTTCCCCAGTTTCCTTCCGCACCCTGCATCTCGTCACCAGTGCCAAGTATTTCCTCCCTCCCAGCCTATGGGTTGCCATATTTGACTAACGATTTGTCACCTAACAGAACAGAAGTGGCCTTCACAACATCTCTAAGCCCTCACCGCAATGTGAGAACACACACCTTCCACCAAGGACAAGCTTTTGTGCGCAGAGAAGATGATGGAGGATGGAGATTCACCTGGGTGCCCAAGCAGGCTGAATAAAGCACCTGCATGAAGGGTCAGCTAGAGGGGATGTAAGAGACATACACTTCACCCTGTGCTCGAGACAAGTTCAGACATCAGAAACAAGCCTGTTAAATACTACCCTGCCACCCACCCATTCATCATTCCCTTCCAGATTTTCACAGGTGTGGCTCCAGATTGCACTGAGACAGGTATCTGCCCCAGGCCAGGTGTTTAGATTGGACCCAATTCTCTTGTGCCTGTGTTGAGATACCTACTTTTTCTCACATCATGGTTTCTGTCATCAACTATTCCTTCTTAACTGGTGTCTTCCAGACTGAACTACTTTCAGCATTGATGGTCACGCCCACATGCATCAAACTGGAAGGGATTTGGGGAATACAGTTTGGAAATAACATCTCTCCCCAACACCCACAGGTGACAAAGATGGCATAGGCTGAGGGTCAGCAGTGTCTGTGATTTGGGTCTCTTGGCTACGTAGATTGCCTTGGATTAAGGCAACCACTCTATTTGTTAACATGTTACACTAGGTTGTCCTACCTGCAGTCACTTGGTGCTGTCGTTTTTTATTTTTTGATAATGATTCAAAAAGCAGGACTTAATTCTGTTGCCTAAAGGCTACATAATTACAAGCAATTCAGCAAGTCTGAGATTTTCTTCTGCTGTGATTAAAAGACCAATGTGTTTTCTGCATTATGTTTTAAAGGTATTTTATCTGTCAGGAATTAAACCATTTAGAGCCCTGTATCTCACCAACTTTAGCTACAGAACAGGAACTAGATTTGAAGATGGCTGTGGAATAATAACACTGTCATCCCCAACCAAGGCTGATATATTAGTGGCACGCATTTCCTCAGCTGTGGTGGAAGTACACTCAGAGCACTTCTTTCTTCTGCAAAACATGCATTCCCCTCAGTTGCAGGATCCCGCTAGCCTTCAGTCAATTTTTCATCCCTATCTACTGGCTTGATAATGATTTTTTTATTGTTGGTGGTGGTGTATTTTTTTTTTTTTTGAAGGAAGCCACTCTTGGCTTCAGAAGTGGTTTCTGTGGATTCCACTGGGCTATTTTGCACGTGTGAAAGTGGAGGTGATGTTTCTAGGGAACAGCTTCTTGACCTTTTTGTCTCGATCTTTGAGATCATGCAGATTTACCTGCAACCAACATCAGCCCAGAATCAGGGCTGTTTCCTCCTCCCTTCATGCTTCCTGTGGGAAATGCTTCTTATGTTTCTCCTGGTTTGTGGAGGCAGTATCACTTAGTGATTTGGGAGTGTTTGGGAACTCGACCTTCAACACCATCTCTTGCCTCTTCATGTCTCTGTCAGGCAGTGGTGACCTGAAGCTAAGACCGTGACTGCCTTGAGAATGCTTTAAAATGCCTGGTGAGGAGCTGCTCCAGCACTGCCCAGGGCTGTTGGTAACACTACTACTGATATGAAGTCATGATGCAGATCATAATGATATGACCTGCAGTAAGCTCACTGGTGATGTTTGTGTTACATTTCTTTGCCACTTTATAGTAGTTTGATGCCTAAACATTGAAAGTGAAGGGAAGGATTTGGTTATTCTGGCTTTCAGAACGGCCCCAGTGACATTGAGGAAGTACTTTCATAAGTAAAAATAACCATATGTGAGGATTTCCTTCCAGTGGGCTTATTTTTCTACAGAAAACTAGGTATTTTATTTTTTTAAAGGGATAAAAGCATCTCCCAAACAGCCTCGTGCCTTAGAATTGCAATATTTGGATTTCTCCATGGGGAGCAATAGTGATTTCCGAGAAGACTTTTAAATAAACAGCTGTCTTTCTGTGTAGTTACTTTAAAGTCATAAGGCAGACTTCCAGAATAGGCTATTTGAAAGCATGATTGTAGGCACTATTGCACTAGATTAAAAACAATAATGCACATGAAATAAATACAAGATTATTTTTTTCTGGGGTTTTGTTGTAGTCTGTGAAAACATGGCCAGCTGATAAAAACTGGTCAGACAAGACCGCTGATCTATAGCACTTTTCTGCTTTTCAATGAAAGTATATTAAGAAAAGTGTTTTTAAGGAAACTGTGTACATTTTTGTTGTTGTTGTTTTTTGTTTTGTTTTTGTTTGTTTGTTTGTTTTGGTTTTTGTTGTTGTTTTTTTCTCCTCAAGGCATTTTTCTACTAATAGACTCTAGATCTACTATATAATGTGGCACTGAAGAAAATAACTTTGTTCATTGGAGTTTTTATTGTTGCATATCATAGTGCAGAAAATTTCTCACCTTATCTTAAGTGATGGGAAGCCCTGGTATTTGTGGTGATATGGGATGAACAACATGCAGGCAAATAGTGTGGCCAGAGGATTATACCCAACGCAGCTGTAGATATCACATCGTTCAAAGCAGCTGTAAAACTTAATCAGAGAAAGATCTCTGTATTCTAATGGTGCCGAATAATATTGCCTATGTTTTTCAATGATATGGAGTCAGCAGCAGTAACAAATTGCCGACAAAACAAATAATAAATCATATTTTGTTTTCTCTAAGGAGAGAAAACCTTTCCCATTTGATGTTTGCTTTCCACATCTTTAGATCAACTCATTTTGAAAATTTCTTTGCAGAGAACCAGCACAAAGCAGTCAGATCTTTGGTACAATTCCAAGCAGGGTTTCAGTGGAACTGAAACAGTGCTTGAATCTGTGCAGCATTTTGTTAGAGGATGACTGGCCCCGTTGCCTCATAGCAAATAAATTATAGATGTAACTGAATAGTTCAATAAATACTTCACCTAAACATGTCTTCCTCTTTTGCTGCAGGCTCCTGAGTTTTGCTCAGCACAAAAATATGGTCCCATAGTGCTGCTCCTGGCTTGTAAATACAAAAACTTACATTTTCTCACAGTTTTCTAAAGTAGAATTGTATCTGCTGTCTGCTCCATGTGAACAATGCTGCTGATTGCCATAGTAGAAGGAGCACACTGGAAAGGAAATTCACCTAATAACTAAAGGTGACTTCCCCTCCCCCCGACAGCATCATTTGAATGAGTATTTCCTTATCTATCATTAAGTACAATGCAAACAAGCATTGTACTCTAGCACCAGTGCACAATAAGCAAGCCAATGTGAGGACTGAGACTCTTCTGCTTTTCTGTTTCTCTATAAACAAGAGGAAGAAGCTCAGGATTCTGATATGGCCTCTGGTACGCTACTTCACTTCTGTGCTTTGATTTCTACTGGTTCCACCACCAGATCAGTTCATAGCAATTTAACAAGAAAAACACAATACTTGCTGCTGCAAAATGTGTGAGGTTCCCCCTTGCCCAGGAGCAGCTCCAGATGTGTACCTCTGGGACTGGGAGGCATGACTTGAATGGCCCATGGGCACTGGGAGGCTCTTTGGGCAATGGAAACTTCATCATCTGTAAATATCCATTTTGTATTAACATATCTGTTTTATTTTTTTATTTGAAGTTTTTTCTTTGTGAATGGAACACATGCAGCTGCACACTTTAAAACAACCCATGTTTCTAGAATGTATGCTATTAGAAACAAGTTAATTTAACACGATGTTTGATTTTTGTGATTGAGAGTCTATGATTATACATAAACATCGATTTTACTTGTATAATTAAGTTTAAGTTATGTCTAATAAAACTTGAAATAACATCTAGTTGATGCAAATCTGCCCACAACTACACACTTCAACATCTATTAAACAACCATTGTTCACACTGCACAGCATAACACCTAGCAACTACACGTCTCTTCAGAGGACTGAGGGAGATCTTTATTTCCTGCAAATATGAGTGTCCACACAAGCAGGTGCAGCTTGTGAGCAAGTTGTAACAGAAGTAAAGATGCAATAGCCACAGGTATGCCACTTCAGCCAGGGCTTGCACAATGCCTTTCAGTGATCCATTATTGTTTTCACTAACAGATTCCACACTACAGAATGACTAGGACTGAGGGAAGTACTGTGCTTTATGCACAGTACTTTTTGTTATTTTTTGTTACTTTTTTGTTATTTTTGCAGCAAACTCACTTAATAGAACTACACCTCCTGTCTTAGTCTTCTGAGCATCGTGACAGTACTCCGCATACTCCTGATTTTGACTCTGAAGTGATGAATTTTAAAGTGGCACCGAGGTGTAATGTAAAGAGACTGAAGATGAGAGATAAGCATGAGTAAAAAATGCAAGTCTCTATTTAGTCAGCTATACTCAACACCAAAAGTCAAACTGTTATTTATTAACTTCCCTGTCTGACTGGGGAGGGTTAGTAGTGATCACACACCAGCTAGGACCAGCAAGATCAATTTTTCATTGGAAAGTGAAATTATTATTCTTTGTATTGCTCCTGAGATACAAAAAATCTTCTGCTTCTTCTGCTTTAAACTCTTTTGTCCTCTAGAAGCCACTGTTAGCCTAGCAGATGATTCACAAACATCCTGGCTTGTTGCCAGGTAGATGACACCCTGTCACAGAGAGCGCAGTCTATAAATAATTTGTAGAATGAGTTGCGATTCACCTAAAATGCCATCTTTCCAGCCATTCCTCTGGTTCATTAGTTGTGCATCACTGAGTTATTTCAAGGCTAAATATTTACATGCACCACAGCCCAAGGAAATCAGCATAATAGAGGAGTGTGAGCAACAGAGTATAAAAATCATCAGGGGCACGAACATCTGGGGGGGCTGCATATTTCCTGATTTAGTCAAAATTCCCACTCGAGTAGTAGCTGCGACACATGTATGGTCAGCCAAAACTCCCAGGTACCTCTCCAGAAGCTTATTATCCAAATAACACACTCATTGTTTATAAAAGCAACGTACGCATGGCTAACGTCTTCCACCACCGCCGTGTTCCCTGTTAATGATCGCAGAAGAAAGGGTCAAAAACAAAACAAAAAACGGGAGCGTGGGCGCTTTTCGGCACTTCCATGACTTGGGAAAGTGCCCTTGGATGAGGGGCAGGGCGGGCCAGGAGCCCCACCAGCCCGGGCAGCAGCAGCGAGGCGCTCCCGGAGCCCGGCCGGGGCCGCCGGCTCTGGCCATGGTGCTGAAACGGCAGCGCAGCAGAGCAAGGCCCTGCGCATCTCAAACATTACATACTTTATTTCACATATCCTAAGTTTAATACCTGGATGCTAAAGCTTGTTAGAGTTAAAATCATCATCACTTTTTTTGTTATTGTTATAGGGTTAGGTAGACCATCCAGATATCAACACAGGGTCTGTTATTTGGGGAACGGTATTCAGTCTTTAAATACTCGCAAGTGAATTCTGCTCTCCTTTCCGCCAATTAGGATCTCAGATACCCTCCCTCTTTTCAAAAAGTTTTATCCGAAGTTAAACCATTATAAATGGGACCTGAGATGTATAGTATTCCACTGCACTTTCCATCATCCACCCTGGAATTACATGACAGGCTGCTGCTGTGATGATTTGCAGCAATCAAAAGATAGAAAATAAGAACTGGCTTGCCAGTGATGAATCCCAGCAGTGCAAAATTATCTGGCAACTTCAAACAATAGTGAAAAAGAAAGATCTATGTAAATAAAGAGGTTCCTTGCAGTTTTCAGTTTTAAGAAGTGCTGACATCTTTCATTATACAGCCACACAGTTTGAAGGCACAAGTAACTCCTTCCTCTGGGAAATAGACACCACTGGCCAGCCCCAGACAAAATCCTAACCTGACAACAGCATATCCCCAGATCAGCTTTACTTAAAAGCTCAGAAGATTACTGTAGAACAAGTTAAAAATTAGCTCAGCAGTATTTGAACTCAATTGCAACTGCTGTACCTGCTTTGAATTCCAGCTTCCTCACCTGGGCCTAGAATTAAACAGAACAAGTAGGAATTAAGTGATCCCTCCTTGCTTCAGGAAACAGGGCTAATTTTGATTACCCATGGGTCATGAAATATTTAACAATACCTTTCTGCAAGTGAATGGAGAAGCCCTGATTTAATACAGGTAGGTATTGTTTTAATTTGCCCACTTCAGTTTCCTTCACAGACTGATGTTAATCTGGTGTTTATTCTTGCCTTCTTACCTGAAGCATTCAACAACACCGCTGTGTGAAAGCTGCTGTGTGCCTCCCCAATTGTTTCATTTCAGCAGCACTATTTTTTCTGAAATAAGTTGTTCATCTCTCACAGTCTAAAAATTGCACTGCCCACCGAAATCTGCATGAGTTAGTACTATCCCTGAGAACAAATGCAGCTGAAAGAGCTTTAAGTTTCTCCTTACTCAAAGGCCTTTTATCAGTTTGAAATATCATTACCTCAATGGCCCTGTGGCCATTTCAGAGGTGTATAAACACTTGTTGCCTATCTGTTAGCCATTCAATTACTAAGATCTTGATACTGTGTAAATATTTAACTACAATAGGGGATATAAATCAGAGAAAGTGATTTTGTTTCATTCCACTGGTGGCAGTAAATCACAGTCTATTCAGACTACTGGGCTACACCCAAGGAGCTGAGCTGTGAACACAGGCAGGCGTTATCTAAGATTTCCTGTAAAGCAAGTCCTAATCTAATTCAGACCTCATGGGGCAAGACAAGCAGTATACACCACAACTCCAGAAGCCAAGACCACTTCCAGAAATTTTTGCTAGGTCAGCCAGAAAATGAAAAACTGCCAGTACCCAACTGTTGGGCTAGGTTTCCAAAGGATGTGACCAAAACCCACAGAAGGCCTGTGAGAGCAGGTGCAAATGAGTTTGAGCCCCTGGATACTAACAACAAAAAGACAGCAAAGGGGAGGAGCAGTGAGTTCTGGTCTCATTTGTTTCCTACAGTAGCAGAAAAAGGATCTAAGTATCACCAGAGACAGCAGCACAAGACCAGTCACCCTCTCCACCCATGTTTCTCTGCTGTAACAGGTCCAGCAGCTGTTGCAGAAAGAGCCATCATGTGCTGCTACTCCAGAGATGCAACACAGTGCTCCCTATTGCAATGGGATCATGGGTTTTCTTGCATCTCCATCCCTAAATGCACTGGGATTCTGAAGTCAAAGTCTCCAAGGACATGGCTTTTTCTAGGAGTACTTCTTGCAGGGTATTTTATCTCACCAGTGCCATGTGGTGGGCCCCAGCTCTACAGGCCCACTCCCGTGGGAAGGGAGGGGAGGGTGCAGTCAGAGGAGCTGCAACAGCCAAACTCCTCTCCAAGGGAGACTGATTGCAGAGAGGACATGAACATGCAAGTATAGGACACCCCCCCACATCCACATGCTTTGTTCAAGAACTTTTCCAGGCCACACGGCATCACTTGTGGCAGCTGACAGTGAAAGTTAATCTGCCTCTGCAAGGGCTGATTGCTTTTTACTCTTGCCTGCCCTCCTTTTCCACTTGGCCCACGTGCAGGTACAAGTTTAGCAAGTGTCTGCAAGCCCCAGTGCATACAAACAAGCCTTGTGCAGCATTCTATTTTGGTTTTCTCTACCCCCCTTGTGGCCTCCCCTGGCTAAAGTCAAAGAAACACTGAAGCATCCAAGTAAATCAGCCTATTGCCTTTTCTCATCAACTTTAAAATGCTTTCCTTGATGCCAAAAAAATGACAATTCTCTACAGAACCAGGCTTGCAGGATAGTTGTATTGAAGCTATTTCTTTTTGCCTTGCTTTCCTGAAAGGCATGTTGGCAGGGGAACTTGTCTCTAGACTCAAGCCCAGCACCCCGTACTGAGCCCACAGAACGTGCAGGGCTGACAGAGTGCAGAGGGTGCCCAGCATGAATCTGCTCTGTGAGCATTTACCTCGTACCGCGGTCATCCTAAGACAGGTCAAATTAATCACACCAGAGCTGACAGCTGCTAAATAAAACCCCGTGAGGAGATGAGCCCAAATGCAATGCGTATTAGGCACCCTGAGGGACAGAGCCGAACACCGTTAACCAACCTGAGCTGAATTCCCCAAGGGCTGAATGCGTGAGGCAGAGCCCTGTGCTGGCAGCAGTGACTGAGCCCCTCGTTGGCTTGAGCAGAGGGGAGAGGCATGCAGTGAGACCAAGGTAGTGTGGTGGGGAGTTTCTGGCATGGCTGCATATGATGCAGGCAATTATTAATAAGGAAGCAGACCCAGTATCCCCTACATACTGCAACATTACACAGCCCTGTCCTGCATCGGCGCTGTTAAAGCTTTCACAACTATTTCTGTCACTGGACAAGCTCAGGCTGCCTGCAGCTGACTGCAACACTTCTCCCTGCTCTCCTCTTCCACAGCAGGAAGTACACAGCTACATGGAGGGGAGAAACTACTCCCCAGAGAAAAAGGAGGGAGGGAAAAGTGAGGTTATGGTGATAATCACCATTTACCACAGGAGTTATCTGTGATTATTTGACCAGGTCAAAACTTTCTGTAGAAGGCAAGAAGTGGGATGAACATCAATTTAGAGGAAGGAACTGATTGGTAAATTGCTTTGAATTATCTTTGAAACAGCAGTTACAGTAGTATGGAGAATTTTTGGATGACTAGAAAAGAAAAAAAAAATACAATCTTGTTTTAGTTGTTGCCCAAGTCCAGTTCAAGGGAGGTAATGTGCAAAAGGAAGCAAAGCTGGAGGAGCAGGGAGCAATATTAGTATGTATTCTTTTCTCCCTGATTTCGTTTTCAGCCCACTTTGGAATTGGCTGTTCATTTCAGCATGGATGCACTCAGCAGTTTGTGACACACTGTGCTGTTTTGCTCTGCCGGCTGTGTTGCGCCTGCCAACATTTGTTGAGAAATAACAGGAGGTCACACATGGTGTCAAAAAAATACCCCTGGCACAGTACATAGAAAAAGGCATTGTATTAGTGGCAATGAATTCAGACCTACTGATGGTGGAATTAATGAAATCCGTGGCTGGCACTCTTCACATCCCAATAAAGGCTACAATGAACAAAGCAAATGTACTGGCCACTAGCCCGTAGGATCGGCAACCCCTGCTTGTCCAAGGCAGCTGGAAGCCCCTTGCCTTCCCTGGCAGGCCCTGAAGTGGAGAAGGAAATTACACGGCTTGCTCAAGATCTCTGCTCTCTGACTAAGGCAACAGGACATCAAGAGACAGGGAAGCCAAATAATGCTCAGTGGCATGGAGGACAATAAATGGTGAGCATTTACTGATTATTTTGACTTTCATGTTCTTGGGCTCTTTCAGATCCAGCTACAGGTGAGCAATATCCTCTCCTCTTTTGTTTTCATTTCCTATGAAGCTAAAGCCTGTTACCTGAGTAACAACATTCACTCACAGTCTTCTTTCCTCTCCCCTTGGTGGTTTCCAGTCCCTTTTAGGCAACCTTCAGTAGTATTATGTTGGCCTTCATCTCTTCATCATCTGTGTTAAGCATAAACAAACAAGGATACACGTACTTCCAGATAAAATTCCCCATGATACAAGGAGAAAAACACTTTCCCAGGAAACACAACAAGGCCCCAGGAGGTGGTGTACCACCTCCTTCTTGCAGGTGGAAAGTTGGCTGGACAAGGCCCTGAGCAACCTGATTCAGCTTTGAAGTTACCCCTGTTTGAGTAAGAAAGCCTCTATACATCCCTTCCTACCTCAAGTTGTTAACGTTTCAGTGGTTCTAAGACCACACTTGCTCAATCAGCAATCTGTTCATGTACCATTTACCTGCATGTAGAGTCATTCACCTTTCATCCACCTTAGACTGACCTGGAGTATGATCCATCACTTCCCTTTTCCCTGTAGTATAGGGTTACAGATCTCCATTGTCACCCCTTACTCTTCCTTCTGTTCAAATGCATCAGAAATCCCACTTATCCACTCTAACTCTTCTAGGCATATCAAAGGACAGCCATTTCTGGTGGTTTCTGTATTAACCCTGGCTACTTAGTCACTCAATTTCAAAAGGACAATTCAACTCCTGATGTTTAAAATATAACTGAGTGCACCAAGTCAGACACATGCCAGGGTCAAGTCTTCTAAAAGAAGTACCCACAGATCAAAAAGACTCAATTAATTCCTTTCTCCTATGGCATTTTAATGTGATTCCTTCGTGTTTAATGTTTAATATGAGTAGAATAATTTTTGTCTCTTGTAATTCCACATTAAGACAGAACAGAGACACCAACTGCTCCGACTGCACTCAATGCTCCTCAGTTGGTCACCCAACCGATGGCAGCAACCCTGGAAAAAGCCTGTGCAATTGGAAGCCTCTCCTCTTGTACTGTTTCTAACATGCCAGTAGGTAAACAGGGATGCAGACTGCCACACACACACTCCCAGGTTCACAAGAGACCCAGGAGCTCACTCTGCTGGGCAATTGTCATCCCTGTGTAAAATCTGTACAAAGCCTTCACTTTTACAGCAGTGCAGGATGCTGTTTGGCCCAGACCAAAGTACTGGGGCTTTACTCTGAAGCAGAAGTCCCCTGAGGATGCTATGCCCTTGTTTTTCTCCTGTAAAGTGGGCAAAGTCTAACATGAACTTATGCTTTTGCATTTCAGAGGAGAAATTTCAAGTGAAAGCCTGCAGAGAGAAACAGCTCAGTGCTGGGGCTCGACTACACAGCCTCAAGCACCACTTTGGGCACAAGCAGCCGTCCTTCCCAGAGCTGCAGACTCAAGGAGGAGGTGCTCAGATCTCTGCTGCAGCAGCTCTAAGTTTTCCTAACCAGGGGATGGAGTACGAGATGCAGATCACAACCTGGCTTTCTCACACCACCTTTCATTCATTGCACTTATTAATACAATCAAGCTGGTATTAGTATTAGCAGATAATTATTCAAACAGTGCTCCTTTTATTAATTTCCATCCTCACACTATAGCTAGAGCACAAGTGGGGAGACCAAATCCATCTCTTGATTCAGAAGTGGAGCGTTGTGTCCAGGCTGACTAAAAGCAGTTTCACATCCTAACCCGAAGGCTGATTAAAAATCAGCTGTGAGATTGCTGTGCAATTCCACTGTAATCCATCCCTTATATCAACCTGAAAAGTTTGAGAGCAATCTTTACAGCTGTGGTTTGACTGATGGCCCCTAAAGCTAAGTTGAAAACCGTTGATTCCATTTTCATAGTGTTTGACACAGCCTTTTACTTCCGTTTTGAAAAAATGCCGTACAAGGAAAATTAAAAAGTTAAGACAGACTTTGAAGTGAAACATATTTGGGATGCATTTTCTACCTGGAGTGGAAATCTCAAAAATCAATAGTATTTCTTGAAGTAGTTTGATTTTTATGGAAATGCATTTTCTGATGGAAAACATTTTTGCTGGATTTTTTTTACAGGCTTTTCTCAGCTTTGAAGGAAAATATGGAGCATGGAAAACAGAGCCATCAATTGCAAATGCTCTCACATGGGAGATCCAGCTGCATACAGCAGCCTTGGCTGAATCAGTTTTGTACCAGAGCCACACTTAAGCTGCACTACCGGGTAGTCGGGGTGACAGTGACTATGATGTATTGATGTTCAGCTGTTCCTCCCTGCTTATAGCCAGTGTGCAGAGAAGCATTTTGCATCAGCTCCAAGCCAGCCAGCTACCTCTCACTAGTAAATGAAGAAGGATTTACCAGACACCATTGATTATCTGGTCTTGGGGTTGCAACAGCTTTTTGAAGATGGAGGAGGCAACCAGAATATGTGCTGATAAAGCCAGCAAACTTGGGACCAAGGTCTTTTGTTTTCTTTCCTCTGATGCTAAAGAGAGGAGCGTGCCTGGGTCTGCACAGAGTGTTCCTGCTGAACAATGTCAGACACACGCCAATTTGGAGGTCTGCCAGTCCAGAGCCACCTCGGTGAACCCATGGTGCGAGGCAGAGGGAACACACAAAGACCAGACCTAGGTTATCACAGTCCTCCCAGGGAAGGCCAAAGCAGCCATTTGTCATCATTATGTTCCTCCCCTATTCTTATTTCTGTGCTCTCTACAAAATAAAGTAGTGCTTACTGAGAAATAAGAGGAGGGAAAGAACAACCTGAATACCTGAGACTGCCTAAACTGATGGAAATGATGAATAACAGCATGGCTGGCCTATTCTTCCTTCGGGTGTTGCATGACCCACTGCTTAAAATATCAGAGCCTTGATTTACTACATGCCACAGCTTAAAAAGATTTTGATTGCTTGGCACCTCCCTTCTGCCAAAAACTTGGCTAGCATCCAACTGTGATGCTTCTGCACATCTTGCACAGAAGAATCCCCAGACGCTCACTTCTGGAGATTCAACTTTTTAGAAACCTAGTCTCAGTCTAGGAGGGCAGGTGCTAACATCAAACTGGAGACCTTACACTTATTGCTAAAAACACATAGCTCTGGAAAATGACTACAGCAGGTAGAGAAAACCACATGCCCAGATACTTCCACGTACAGTCCCATGAGATCAGAGTTGTGACTGTCACCCACAGAGAAGGTGAACAGTGCCAGGTTAGTGCAAAACCAAGGAATGACAAACAGAGGGGGCAAGGGGCGCTTGTGGACACATGGGCATTAGTTGTGTTATCTTGGATCTGATCATTTACGCGAACAGCCTTTGATTAGCTGCTTCCTTGTTGACACTTGGTCTGGTTGAATTGAATGGCAGAGGACACTGGAGTTTCTTCACTGTAACAGCTGAAATGAGTACAAACAAGGAAGCTAGAGTAAATCACTGGCATACAAGTTACCATCACTATGCTCAGTATCCACCAGAGACTCATCTACTGAACTCTACAGTGAGAGCCTCAACAACATCGTCCCCCCAGGCAGGTCCAGGAGCTAGTTAGCTCCAGCAGGACTGTGAAACAGTGAGGTATGAGCTCCTGATCTCAAGAAACACCTTGTGGAAACAGCATGAGTTAGGTGATAAGGCAAGCTCTTGGCCTGGCTCTGACGCTAACTCCTGAGCCTCTCCCCTGAGTGGTATTGCTTCTCCTCCACTGCCTGTTAGGTGATCTACTATCTGTTTTCCTGCTGGAAACAGATCTCATTTCCTAGGGATTGGCAAAGGTGACCTTGTGAAGATCATGAGCAATTCGTTTCCTGTTTCACAGAGACATTTTTGAAAGAATTGGTCATTCACTCTGGCCAGAGGAACGATTCCATTTTAAGCCACCCTCCATTTACTGACACAGTTCATCTGCCTGGGATGCACGCTGCATTTGCGATCAAGCATAGAATTATTAAAGGAGAGTTTTCTTCTACCACCATGTGAGTACACCCCTGCAACTCCACCATGCCACTCCTGCCATACATTAGGAGCCAGCATGATAGCAGTAGTAAGAGTTTAGTGGGAAATGGTTTTTGAAGACTTCCAGAAATCTCCCATCCTGTGCCAAGAATCAAGAGCTCTCCAGAAGTGAGAATAAAAGCCAAAGCTCCAAGTGTTCTGGGGGTCACATCTAACAACACAGAGTTGCCACTCCTGGCTCAGCGGAGCAACACCCTCATGTCCCTGTGGCAGGTGAGCAACGGGTCTCCAACAGCTCCTGAAGGGCGACCACACAGCTTTGTCTTCAATTGTATCAAGGAAACTCTTACAAAGAATGTTGTATTAAGCTGCTATGTTCCTACTGAGTGTGAGAAACTCTTGAGAAATCAAGTATTTCTAACAGCTCCCCTCTGCACAATCAAACTCACAGTAGACACCTGGGAAACCTGTCAGCTGAGACCCTAGGGGGGTACCTGCACAGGGAGCCCAGTACTTGGGTGAAAGCAGAACTCATTTAAGCCCAACCATTGAGCATTTCTGAGGGGTTCAACCACCACGTAGTCCATGGGAACTGGCTGTGAAAACACAGTTGTAGGAAAAGAGATCTTAAATCACCTCTTATCCCTCAGCTGCTGCCCTGATAGCTCATCTGTAGGGAGATAAAGGTGTTCATTTGTAATTATTCAAAAGAATTTGTTTGGAATTCTTTGGCATAATCTGTGATAAGGATCACTACATAATGCTTGACAAAGAAATAGTTACGACTAAAGTTTAAAACCTCATTTCTCATTGCCATCTTCTGGTCAGAGTGGTGTAGTGTATTTTCTTGCTAAAATACACAGCAATATAGGGCACAGATGGGTCACAAGTACAGTTCTGATTAGGCTGCAGTGATGTGCAGGACAGGTAAGAAAGCAGCTCTTTCCTGCCTTCACAGCCCCTCTGTAGCAGATGCTCAGAAGAGTGATTCTGTGAAAAATTATGCTTATAATTTCAATGTGCAAGACCAAAGCTCACTGAAACATCTTAAATGACTTTTTCTCATACTCTAGCGATATTAAAATGATTATTAGTCAAATATTTCAGTCTTAATTATGCTGAGTAAATGAAAAACAGCTTTAAAAAAAATCACTCTGTAGTTACAGTCTGATATTTTCTAGATCACTACCCTCAGAGCTTGAATCCCTGGGG